GCACAGTATGCTCTGGATGGCTGCTGCTTCCAGCCCAGTGGCTTTCCAACTAGGGGTCATGGACTCAGCGCTGGGGGGTGGAATGTCAGGTGCTGGGTCTTGTTGCTGCAGGGGGATCAGGGGAGGGGGGGCTAAGGCAGCTCCCTGCCTGTCCTGGCACCGCAGACTGTGCTGGGCCCCAGAAGTGGCTGGCAGCAGGCCCGGCTCCTAGGTGTGTGGGGGGGAATGCACAGGGCTCCGTGTGCTGCCCCTATCCCTGCCCCCAGCACTAGCCCCGCCCCCCCCATTGGCTGGGAACCTGCTGCTGGCTGCTTCTGGGCGCAGAATGGTCTGGTGCCAGGAGAGGCAGGAAGCTGCCTTAGCCCCCCCAACATTGACCAGCAGCCGCTCGAGGTTAGCCCCTCCTGCCCCAGCCCTGAACCCTCCCCCCCGCAAAGCAGGACCTTGCATCCTACAGCCCAAAGCTCCATCCTCAGCCCCACCCCGGAAGCCCCCAGTCTAGCTGAATTCTGTTGGGTTGCAGCATCAACAATTTTCAACTGGGTCATGAGAAAAAAAGTTTGGAAACTGCTGTTCTAGGCTATTCCCATATGAAGTGTCACAGGATTTCTGTACAGTCACACATGCCATCGTGTGCTACCGTGTGACTCCTCACCGACATTAAGTGCTATGGTCGCAGGAGCATGAAAACTTCAGGATTGTATCATATATGTAGGAGGCTGCATCAGAACAAATACACGCAGTTTGTATGTCAGACACATTGACTTGAATGCCATGTTCACGCCAAACACACAGACTGACACATGAGCATTAATTCCATGGGAAACAAGTATGTCATTAGGGGTTAAAAATGTCAACTCAGACACACAATCCAGCCATCTGTTTAGACCATGCCATACGTGCTTTTGGGCAGATTAAAAAAAATCACGGAGTTAGTTATTAAAACTAGACTAAGACTATGCAACTGGCCCCAGTTACCAATGAAAAATCAGTGGTTTTTCAATAATTATACAATTTGTGTTCTTGTTTGGTTCCTGCCTGCAAGACTGGGGTTGGAGGTGAGGGGAGAACAGCAACTATCTTACAAATGAGACTGGATCAGGTCAAAATACTGAGTCTGAGACTTACTTGGGTCTGTCATAAATAAAAAGTGTTAATGAACTTTGTGTATTCTGGTGACATTATGGGAGCCCTTTGCTTTGCTGTTGCCAAGATTGCCTGGATGATTTTACAATTTCCATCCACATCTAAGGCAGGTGGATTTCATACAAAGTTGGCTCCTCTCCCAAGAGACTGCCCTTCAACCAAGAACTAGCTACAGCAAAACTCACCACACCTAGAGCAAGGGGTTTAGACATAAATTACGTTATTTCCTGTGCAATGGTATCAATTTAAAAACAATTATAGCCATTGCCTGGCCTACAATATCAGAGCCTGGGGTTGAAACAAACAAAAAGCTAAATACAAAAAGCCTGATTCTGACCTGGTTTGTTCTGGTTTTGTTGCTAACGTGACTCCGTTTGGCCAGTGCAGTTACTCCTGATTTGCATGAGAAGAAGTTGGGCCCTGCGCATCTAAGTGAAAGCTCATTGAAGTCAAATGGGAAATCTGTTGACTTAATGGGCTTATGGACCGTGGTGTATTTAGTGAAAATCAAGTCAAATGAGGAGTTTTGTATCTCTCGCCTTTTTTTAGAAGTGAGCAGGGTGAGACTTGACTTCTCTGGTTTTCCTTTTTGTTTTTGTGTGCATTTCTTTTTTAATTCCCGTCTCTGCTAGACCTTGCATCCTACAGCCTTAAAAAATCAACAGGAGAGAATATTACAGTTTTCTTTTAAGGACTGAGCTATTGCTCTCAATCTATAGGAGAAGAAAGAATGCATAGTTGGGGAAACATAAGAGAGGGACTATAAAGCTTGAATTCTGGGTAGGTGCACATTTATTTCCTTTATTTATTTGGTTGTCCTTGTTTTAAGATCAACAGCTGGTATAAACAAGAAGAGATCTTCCCAAAGCATTTACCTCTATGGTTAGATTCTGCAGGTGGTAAATATTCTGTAACCCTTGTGAGGTGAAATAGTCGATGCAGTTTGGACACCCCAAGCCTGTTAAAAAACTGCAGAAAGAATTTTGAAAGTAAAGTGGCATTAACGGGTCAAGTATATACCATGTTCTTGTGGCAAAGTATGTTGAATTCACTGAGGGAATGGGGACATTTTAGTGCACTTTTGTCTGAAGGTTTGGCAACTTTTCATGTGGCAATGGCATTGTGGCATGGAAGACATTGGAAGCAGAGCAAGAATCCATGTGAAGGACGCTCAAAACTCCTGCTCAGAGACTTCTTGGGGCAGGTCCCTGTGAAAAGCCTGAACTAGTTTGACATCAACGTTGGAGACCAACTTCCTCCTAACATAACTCCAGTGGCTTTGGCAGTCCTTGGTAGTGTTAGCTACATGACTGACATGGACTCGCTCTAGGGATTAATTTGCCCATTTGAGCAACTTCACATAGGACCAAATTCTGCACCCCTTCCTCAGTCATCCCATTGGCAACACTTAATCTTTGCCAAATACCATTTGGTGCTAGAATATTTTACGTACAGCGCTTGGCTGCAGCGACAAGATGCTAGCACTGACGGTGCTACGCCATGATTCTGGGATAGCAGCTGAGAAAACATCTGATGTGTCAATTCGTTGAGGATGTCAAATCACTGACTGTAGCCCTGTTAACGTATGGCTATAAATCCTCCATGGCAATTTCTGTTGGCCCGGAAGGGGGAAGAAGGGAGACTTGCCAAGTTATATGCCAGAGTTTGATGGGCAGGGCAGGGCACTTTTTGGGATCAGTCTGCTAAAGGGCTCACGTTTGGAATGAACATCCTGAAAAGCGAATGAGGCCAAGAGCCGGCGATTCGTGTGCCTGATCAGCCCTTGGTGGGGGAGGAGAGGTTCTGA